GGCACTGATCAAAAGGCATATAAACTGTATCCCTCTCTTATGCTCGCTCTCTTACACACACACACACGCGTATGTTTGGACGTCCACATGCCCAGACCTGTAACATGTGCCCGCATTGGGCTGATTTGATCCAAGCCCAGTGTCGTGTTTCTCCGAATAATCATCTCCAACTGGCCGGCCTGGAGCCCATTACAGGAAACTCCACTCCAGATGGAGTTTGTAGTTTTGCTCCTCTCGGCCTCAGTCAGCAGCTCAGAGGAACATGGGAGGAAAACGAAGAGATTAAGACACACATGCATCATTTCGTCACAGGATAGCAACAGTTTCTTGCGTTGAATCTAGATTTGTATGCAAGATGGTATTTCACCTTTGTATTGCTATTGTCTTATGTTTGTTGGCATTTTTCTCTTGATACGTCATTATTAGAGTTCATAAAAAGGTCTTTTACATAGTCATTTAAATGTGTCTTCTGTTCGTAAAACAAAGACATTTTAAACTTCAGATTGGCTTTTTCCCCAGAAGTAAAAAGAATATGTATGGAAAAAAGGTCTTGTTTATATTCCTGTTGATATTCCAGGCAGTGAAGTGTATTTTTGTGATTTTTGTTCAGAAATTTAGGGACTGAATCAGCACTATTATTTCTCGTATCTTTTGAAAGGATTGCCTTCCTACCAAAGTATTTTTCTCTGTAATCCAGTAGCTTAAAGTCTTCCACAGTGCAGTTTATTCACTTTATTTTAACATGTGAGTTCAACTGCGAGGCTCCATCAGTCCATTGTGTGTTCTACTTGCTTATTTCAAGATGCATCCGGAGATCATTCTTCAGGTTGATTTCTAACTAAATATCAGAGAGTTATTTCTGTTTACTTTAGCTTTAGTTTTAGTTCATATACAGACACTACTTGACAATATAAGCTTGTTAGCTGCGCAGCATTTGCTCACTTTAGCGGCTCTTTCCTTCCTGCGGTCAGGATCTTCTCCTAATCTTCACCTATGTGGACCATCAATGTCCAGCAGAGGGAGTAAGACAGCTGATAATCTGAGACTCCCTGTAAAGGTTAACAATGGACAGACACTCACGTTTCCCCTTTCGAGGTGATCACAAATCACGGTTGTCTCTGAGCAACAAAACTCAGATGTTGGTCGATTTTCTTTTTCCCAACAAAGCTTCTTGCTTCTGATACATTAAGCCTGACAGTTGGAGGTTGAGCCGATGGAGATGGATGGATCTGCAGCTCTGATCCTCACACCGTGACGTCAGATGCAGCTGAGAAAGGCCAGAGGTTCGGACAGTAGATACCAGCTCAACAGGCTCGGCTTATAATCTGATAACGGTGCCCCTCTTTTGAAGAGACGCTTTTAAAGCAACACAACCATAGTAGATCGGAGGGCCTGTTGGAGGAATAATGTCCCGTTCCCCGTGTTCAGTAAATGTCTGTGCTGCTGAGACCTCTCACATGTTACATTAACGTGTTCTGCTGCGAGAGGCCGGACATCCTGTAAATCCTCCCAACACTGAATATAGTCTGTGTGCCATGAGGGAATTTGAACTCTGGAGATGATTATACATTACGGGTTTCTAGAAGCTCACGTCACGTTACTCACCATAATTGTTGTTGTTTCTGGTTGTTGCGCTGGCGGTCCTCAGCAGAGAATTAAGATGCTAATTCACCCAGGGACAGAGCGCTTACAACAGCCATTTAAGCCAAGCCAGTAGCTTTTATCACACCATAATTAAGTTACTCAAGCTATCTTTGTCACTGTGTTGCATGCAGCAAAGGAGAAAAAACAGCATTTAGGTTTTCACCTAAAAAACCTAATCCTGCGCTTTTGAATCTGAATGTGTTCCTACCTCCACTATATAATCTATCATTATATAATCTGGTCGGCTCGATCCGACACGCCTGACTTCCTTCAACCCATTATTTCACCAAGCAGCCTCAGCTGGTCTCAACAGAGAACCTGGACAACTTAGCATTAACATGCAGTGCCAAGAATTTTAAATACAAGTGAAGAATTTATTTTGAAAAGCAAAAACATTCTGGTGTCCAAGTCACACAAAATCATCTTTCTCACAGAAAAGCCTCAAGAGGTGAGCGTGCTTGAAACAATACAATTGGAATTATATTGTCAAACTGCATATAAAGTCAAGTTGTTTCTTTCGTTTTCAACGTCCTCGCTGGTGCAAAAAAGCCCGCCGGGCGTTGATCTCTGTGTCTGGATTCAGCGCCTTGAATCGCAGAAGTGGGAAAAATATGCTGCCTTCGGTCTTTCCCACGAATGGTGTCAGAAATAGCTGAGTGAAGCATGGAAATAAGGGCTCGAGAGGGAGAAAGCTCCGAACTACTCTCTGCTCCACACGACGACTGCTGACGCGTGGGTGAAGGGTTCTGTTGTGGAAAGTGACTAAAACGGTTCTACCGAAACACATAAAGTCACAATAGGACGGGACGTCTTTTGTTGGAAGCCTTTACTTTGTGCCCCGCCGCGTGAAACACGCACTATTCCTGCATTGGCACGGAGCACTTCCACGGGGGGAAAATTGTGCTAAGCGTCTCTAAAAATGAAGCCAGAGTTCTCCTTTAAAGTTTACATGGTCTTCAGTTTCTAAGAGAATTTAATGACCTCTGAGCCCATTAAACCGTTGTGAAATGTATCCCTTTAAAAGTAGTATGTTAATCAGAAAAAAAACAGGTAAGCATGTTTTTAATGGGGGGAAAAGCAGCCAGATTGTCTCACTTCCTGAGAAAAAGAACTAAGCGCTGGTTGGCAATGAGCGTGCAGTACACATGGTCATCAGCGTAACCTTGAGATGGCAGTTTCAAGCTAATTATGTTTCCTTTACAATCCAACAGAGGGTGTATTGGAGCCCGCATCTGTGTTTAGGAAAAGTGCGTAATAATAGTGACTTAATCACACAAACAGTGCAACCTCTCAGTCAACTTGACTCTGCGTGGAAACTCATCTCGGGAAATTCTTTTGGTTGTTCACCCAAACCACACACTGTTAACAGCTGTGCAGTATTTCACTCGAGCTGCTCGTAGATTTTCTCTCTTTCTCCTTTTCGTTTTTTCTCGTGCCGAGCTCTTTTGCAAAAAAAAATAAAAAAAAGGGTCATTAATGCAGTATTTTCTGATGGTGTGGCGGATCCCTGCGTGCAGAGGAGGAGAAAGCCGGCGTCGAGCAGAAAAGAAACAAAGAGAATAAAAGAGGGGGGGGGCAAGAAAAGAAAAAGGTGGATGTTTTAGGGGAGAAGGGTCAAGAAAGGCTCTCGTTGCAACTGCTCTCACACACACACACACACACACTCTGCATGCAGACTCCCCGCCCCTCCCTCGCTCTGACTGTCTCCGCTGTAATGAGCTCCAGATGTGTTGCTGAGGATGGGGTGGGTGGGTGAAGGCGAAGGAGGAGGAGGGGGAGCAGTAGAAAGAGCGCTGGTGGTGGTAGCGGTGAAGAAGGAGGGGGGGGAGGAGGGGGGGTCTCTGCCTTGCATGTCATGTGCTCAGGCGAGGAGAGACGCTGTCCGAGGGGACGCTGTCAGGCCTGATAGAGTGGCTGGCCAGGGCCTGGGGGTGAGTATGCAGGCTGGGAGGGGGGAGAGGGGGTGGGGGCGGAGGGGTCAAAATGATCCCCACATCTGGAATCACTTCAGGTCACAGCCCTGGCCGTGAAAGGTGAGACCGGGCGCCTGGCGGGGGAGAGGGGGGAGAGGGGGGGGGGGGGTCTGACACTGGACATACCAGAGTCAGGGATCAGCGATCAGGAAAACAACCAACAGCAGGAACGAAAACACATCCGCTCGGGTTTAAAACGTGGCATTTATGACGGCGAAGCGCCTCTTCATCCTGAACATCCCTCATTCGGCTCAAGCACACAAACGCAGGGAAGAAGTCCTTAAATCCGTGACTTCATTAAAAGTGCAGAAAAATGCTCCGTTGCAGGTCCTATAATCATAGTAAGAAAACCTCCCATTTTGGAGATGATTAAATGTCGTTTCTTCCCAAATCGTCACGCTTTCACAAGAGTGAAGGAGGGTTTCTAAGAGTCTACAGAGGATCTTCACTCATGTTGAATGGGAAATCTGGTTCTGGAAAGTAGAAATCACAACAAAAAGAGAAACGGAAACACTGCAACAACTCAAAGCTGTACTGAAAAATAGAATGAAACAGAAAACTGAACCACTACGTAACCGATTTTAGATGCCAAAGAAAAGCCTTTAACTTTAGGGAACACAACAGCGCTGAAAAGCTTAAGTGAAGTTTTGTGAAATAACTGATGTCAAATTTAACTATAGAAGTAAAAAAGGCAAACTTTCACAACGTGAATGTTGTACCTTGTCAAAGCAAACTTAAGCTTTAGACTTTTTGATGTATAACAAAAAATAAGCAAATCAGTGTTGCACGTTTCTCCGATATTCATGAGTTATAAATAATAAACTACTCCCAAAAACATTTCTACACACTTTGTGCTCATGTGACCACCCCTATTTAGGACCTTTTACCCCCCAAAAGACTCCACCGCTAAAGCTTCGTCGGACCCCCCTTTTATGGCCCGAGTGAGGACGGTGTCGACATGTGTTTGTTGACGGGAAAGGTTGTGAGAGGCCGAGGAGAAGAAACACCTCGTATGACAGCCGCGGAGCCAAAGGAGGCCCGAGGGCCCTCCATATCGAGGAGAGGATTCCCCTGCTCACCAATATCCTGTTTTTTACGGTGGAAAATTCAGATTACAGAAATCGGATGGGGGAGGAGGGAAGGGGGGGGGGGGGCAGCCAAAGCAGGAGCAGCTTGAGGTTTTTCTGTGGAGCAAAAACTGTAAATCTTCTTTCTAATGGGGCATGAACGAGGTCCGGGGTCACATTTTGCTTTTGTAACTACCAACATACTTATCTCTAGCATCGTTAAGTATGCCTGCATTGAGGTTTTTCACTATAAAAAATAAATAAATATTTTTTTCCCTCTTTTGTAAGATCTGTTGAAATGGACACTGTGGCATTGCATTGCTTGAAATGCATTTTTATTAATATACAAGTTTTTATTCTGTTACAAATAAATGATATCATAGGAAATTAAGAGATGGTTTTGGATTTAGAAATACATTAGCCTCTCCTTTATATTGGACTATTACATGGAAATGTAAATGCGTTGAAATTGTTTGCTGCTCAGTGGTATAACATGGAAAGAAATGTGAAAAAAATGAACTCTCTCTGTTTAAAGAATTGCATAAATGTCAGAGAAAGTCCTTATCGGTTTTGTTGTCGGCTTTTAAAAAAAAGTGTGTTGATCCCACATTTGGTGTGTCATTTCATCCGACACCACAGCCGACGGCACGAAGGGATTCCACGTCGTCCGTACGTGGCTCTCCATCAAGAACAAGTCCTCTGATTGGACGCAATACCATCGTCGAAAAACTCGCCCTCCACACCACAAATGTAAAACTATGCAGATATGCGACTATAGCATCCAGTCTAGCTGTCTTTTTGTACAAACCGGGGTTTGTGATGCTCAGGAGAATAAAAAAAAAAGTTGAGGGGGGAGGGGGTGAGGGGGGGGGGGGTCCTTCCGTCACTCAGTGTCCAACAATTTGCATATAAGGTGTAGTATCGCCACCGAGCCTGCTCCAGAGACGGACGGGGGACGGGGGCTGGGGGGGACGGGGGAGGCGGGGGGCTTCATGATCCGGGGTATGCGAGGTGATGCTCAACCCACAGACCGTGTCCGTCCGCGGGGGTCCAGTGGCAGGGGGGTTCCCCTCCCCTCCTGCGCCAGTCACCATCCGCTCCCCCTCTCAGTTTACCGTGGGCACCTGGTTCAAGCTGTACTCCTTGGCTTTGAGCCGCAGGTTGGCGATGCTGTTGGCCATGTTCATGCCCTGGGACGCGTTGGTGTTGGAGCATGTGGGCGGGTAGGTGGCCATGGCGCTGAGGGAGCAAGAGGAGGGGGGGGAAAAGGTTACATCACCTGTGGCTGACAGCGAGCTGAAGCTCAGCTTGAGCCGCAGCTGTGGAAATATGAAGAAAGGAACAAAAACAGGTATCACTGATCACGTGGACGCATTCAGGCACAATGTGAGGTTACAAAGCAACAACAGCCCAAAACCCCCCCAAGAGGAAGTCAACCAGTGTTCCCGTACATTTTTACCCAACCATCACATTTCTCAGAGCGTGAAAGATTTGTTGATGAGCTCTAGTTTTAAGTGGGCTGCCCTGTTGTGAAGAACTTCTGATTGGATTAGGAAACGTAAAGATTCCGCCTTTGGGCTTTCAGGTATTAACTGGCAAACCGTTTAGAAGAAGATATTTGCCTCGTAATACACTTTCATGAGCACGGTTTGACTGGCAATACTTTTTTTATGCCGAGAGGTATCACAGTTCCTATTCCGGTCTCCTAATCTGTTCTGCTTTCTGTGCTCATCTGCTGCTGTAAAGGGTCTCTGGATCACAGATGCTCCATTGTTAAAGTCAAACAAAGGACAGAATGACAAATATAGATAATTAGTCAAGTGTCCTGTAGTTGGAGCATTTCCAGAGCTCTCAGCCACATCTCATGGCTTTCATCAACAGCTTTTGAAAATGTCCAGTTTGAAGATTAATGTTGTTTTAATCAGGAATCAGGAATGTGGAATACTCAAATAATCTTTGCCTTTTAACTTTTTGACTGAAAACAAATTCTGCTTCCTGGCTTATTTTTAACAAACAGCTAAGAGGTTAAAATGGGCTTTTATTTTATTGAAGTAACGTCCTACTGGTCATTAGACTGTATGTAGACTTTATTTATTATTATTATAATTTCCACTAAGTTAGTTTGTCATTAATTATACGATATTTGTTGTTGAATCATCATGAGGAACACACATCCAGAATGATTAGCATATGTTAAAATCATAATATTTAAATAACAACCGTACTGTTATTTAAATATTTATTTTATAGTATTTATCGTAAATATAATTAAAATAATTTGTTGGTGGATTTTTTGTGTTGTTCTCGGCTTTGTGTTTGCGCTAAAACACTTTGGATCAACTGTGTTTAAATCATTACATAGTGTACAATTATTGTTTGATTTCTCAGCTGTGAGAGAGGATGGATTTAAAGCGTCAGCGCTACATAACCACGCTACGATTACTTGACTTAAACAACAATAAAAGCAGACACGATGGTCGCTGATGGCTTCTCTATCCAAATAGTGTTTCAAGAATCGGAAACTTTTGATTTAACTGAATAGAAAGATTTCCTGAGGAAAGACAAACATTTTTCCACTCATGAGAATTGGTTGGAAATGCACAAAAACACTGTAACAACCCTTTAAAAAAAAAAAAACATTTACAAGTCACATTCAAATTAAAAAACAACCTATTAAGTATTTTGAAAAAAGTAAAGGTATGTGAAACTGCAGTATTCTTCTTTAAAAGGAGAATACTGGGAGTTGTATTTAAGGAGAAGAGCACTGAATGGAGTGAAGTGAAAGCGTACTTGTTCTCTGAGGGCAGCATTTTCTGTGGCACTCGCACCGGCCCTCCCTCCGGCATCGGATACCAGCTTTAGGATAATATACAGTCAAGTGTTAGCACCACATTAGCGCGTTCCACGTAGCATTATTCCTGCTTCACAAAAGACTTTTTCCCGCCGCTCCAGCGTCTGGCCAAAAAGCTCTCAGTGACTCTGAGCCGCGGGGGTTTGACATAACGGAGGATTACTGTAAATCATGACCAATGTAACCAGAGTCACAAAAAATGTTGCCCGGTAGAGCTATGTCTCTCGGCGTAGCGTTCATTATCTGGTGTAGTGTAGCAGAGAAGGGTCACAGGGGTCAACAGTGGATTTAATACGGTTTGTTTTCACATTATCACCTCGTCAGGAGGGTCACAGGATCTGGTCCCGCCCTGCTCATGCTGACAGAGGGGAGCGATGGGACTGGGGGCGAGGAAAAGGGATGTTTTTATTTAACACAATTAGTTAAGAGTTAGATATGTGCAAGACAAGACTGTGACATATTCAGTGGAGGAAAATGGCTGAAGGAAGGACGAGGCGAACAGGTCACAGCAGAGGGAAGAGGCGGAGAAAGGAAGGAGTGTCAGACTCACATCTTCTACTGTGGAGATGCAGGATTATAGGATTACTTTGGTTAATTTTCCCAGCTGGTTCTAACATAAAAAAGAGAATGTGTTGAACTCTTGCTGAACAGAAATTTTCTAATATTTGGGTGTAGCAACATATCAATACGGAAAAATTGTATTTCCTTATCAGTCATTGATCCATTTTCTGATAAAATAATCCTTTTTAAACAATCCTCAGCTAAACAGTATGCTATAATAATTTGACACTGCACTTTAAACCAAAGATATTTGTCTTTATTCAACACATAAAACTGAATACGTCTACTACTAAATTAAAAGTCTGTGAGACAACAAGGCTTGAAAGAATAAGCCAGTAAATTGACATTTCGGCCCCACTGAGGATGCGATTCAGGGTTTTACTTGTCAGTGCAGCAGTTTGTGAAAAAATGAACTGTTCAGTTCTTTTTGTAAACGCAACTACAAATTACTGCAAGATCACAAAAGGAGCTCATAAGTGCTCCAGGAGGCTTAATGTGTTTGAATTTCAAATTGCTAAAGGAGAATAAAAGAAACAGTCCTGCTGCTTCTAAGTGCATCGTAAATCTGAAAAAATATGCTGCTGAACATGGTTGCCAGAAAATGCACTAATGTTTGTTTGATAAAAACCCCAGGGAGCAGCTGCTTTTAGGAAATTAGAGAGGCTCTTTTAATCGAAGAAAACTTCCGTTATTACGGTTCAATAGGAACCGGTGGACTCGCGGCCAGGAAGTCAGACGTTATTGAGGGACCGACCAACACGCTGGAGTCTGAACATTTGATGACTGTGAGAATAATACGACAGACTCATCCTCGTGTGCCGTGTATAAACCAAAGGTCGAATGAGCATAAAAACGACACACGTTAAAGGGTCTGCTGACCTGCAGCTCTTGAGTTTGAGTCCAGATCAGAGGAGAGGAGGACGGTCAGAGGAGCTATGAGAAGCATGTCCAGGTAGAAGAGGAGGAAATGAAACAATAACAGAGAGCACTGTGTGTAAGTGTGCGTGTAGACTGTGGTGTTAACATGTGGTTATTGTGGTATCAGCTGTGCTTTCTCATCTGGAGGCACTTGTGTGACTGATGTGCTGCAGCACAGAGCCGAGGAAGAGTAAGTTAGTAAATTCTTTCTGTCCTTCATTTCTGTCTATTTTAAGTTCATCTCTTCTTTCAGTGTAGTTTCTTTCTTTTATTCTCCTGTTGTCCTTTATTTTCTATTTCTATTTCTGCTCAACACTGAAACTACTAAACCGTAACATATCTACTTACATTTCTTTTTACAAACAAGTGAATAACTCTGTGGTTCTGCTCGTGTTCTTTGGAGTCCTTGTCCATCAGCAGCGCTCGCAGAGATGTTGTCAGTGCAGAAGCAGCAGAGTGTAAGCAGGCGGTGATTGTTGTGACCCGGATGGGAGGTCGTGGCGGTGCTGGGTGTCGGGTGGGCGAGAGAGAGAGAGAGAGAGAGAGCACGGGGGAGTCTACCTGTAAGGGGCAGCGCTGCCCCAGGACAGGTAGTCGTTTGGGCGCGGCGCCGGGCGCGGTACGATGGGCTGCTCCACCGCCGTCACGTCTCCGGAGTACGATTTGAGGAGCGAGGCGTTTTTGCTGGCCAGCATGGCGCGCTCATTCCTGCGGAACTTGGCTCTCCTGTTCTGAAACCAAACCTGCAATCCAAGAGGACAACGGGATGAAGCAACTTTTCACTTTTTCTTATTGTCTTATTATGTTGTTTCCCACTGTGGATGCTGCGATCCTGACAAACTCCTTGTAGGAGCTGAAGATGCCAAATAATCAGGTTGAACCGGAGTGGATTGGAACTAAAACGTATACATTAGACATTTAGAAAATTGCCTTCTAATTAAAACTAGTCACTATTTGTATTATATCCAAAACAACATGCTAGAATAACTTTAAACGTCCAAACAATGTGATCCTTGTGTGTCTCTGCGCTGCTCTTACAATGTTTGACTGTATAATCTGAACTCAAATTGCCGCTTTTCAGCTCTTTCTGGGGGGGCTCTCCACCACGTCTCATGGCCCCCATCGGTGGTTCAGCTTAGGCTTCCAGGTTGCGTTACGGCCTGAATGTGTTGGCTGTGTTCGCCACGCGAGCTCCAATGAAGTAAACCAGAGGTTGTTGTTTTCTCCTGGATGATTCTCTGGCCCGAGACACTTCTTCTCGGTCACAAACCAACAGTTCTCACGAATTCGTCGCCACTCGCTTCAAACACACATTTTTCTTCTCTAATTCGCCATCCACCCCCCCGCCTCCCATCGCCCCCTTCTTCCTTTCTTTGATTTTTCCCAAACACATGATGATATGACTCAAGGGCTCCTAGTGTTCTTCCTCACTGAGAAACCGAATCCATTATTAGACGCTGCGGGCGCTCGCGGGGGCTCTCTGGCTGCTGACGTACAGCCTCAGGAATTAGACCCAAGCCTCCTTTATCAAAGCGTTCCTGCAACACATTACTCGCAGATGTGCCGCTTCTCTCCCTCCGACATCACCATTTCCTCTTTACCCTCCCTCTCTCCCTGCCCGCTGAACAAATACTCTCACTGCTGCGTTCTGGAAACAGGCGATCCGAGAGAAACGCACTATATGTGTCCAGGACAACCAGGGGCATCATTTCTATGGGGGACACAAGGGACGCAGGGGAAATGTCCCACTCACTTCTCAGGACGTATTGTTCCTCTGACTTTTACAGTCGCAGTTTGACTCGGCAAAGCCGCTGAAAACAGTGTCCTCTCTTATAAGCTGATGATACGATCGAGACGATAGGATCTGATTGCACAATCTCTCCGCTTCATGCACATGACTTTATTTTGCCCTAGTTCCGATTCTGACTGGCCGAAAAGAGGTTTCCATAGAAACCTGATTGAAAGAACTCAATGTGGCTGCAGGGATGTTCTACTTTCACAAGTCGGAACTAGAAATACGTGCGTTAGGACGATTGAAATCGATACACTTAGATGTAGATGTGTCATTTTAATGTTATTTTGCTGTATTTGAAATCGTGAAGTCTTGCTCAGTCTTTTGTCCCTTCAGCAGGTTTTTGCTATAGAGTTAGCGAGTAATTGAACAAGACACTAATGTAGTACTTCTAACTCTATTAGTTGTACTTCTAACAGCAGAAAGTAGCGTTCAATTTTTCTCGTGGTTGTAGAAATATTCAATGTATTTTGTTGCTAATTGACGACATTCAGAGGAGTGACCTCACACAAATACTGGCTTATATTTGGCTCCTGTTCTTCTGCAGCACTTGTGTGTTGCACATTTTTATCACTGATCTGTGAACCACAGAGGAAATTAGAGAATCATTACATCCACTTTTCTGATCACGTCCGATCCCTTTGGGGAGTTTTTTAAGCTGCTCAAAGTCTCAGTGATTATTCAAGAGATTGCACGAGTATGTTAGAGGAAATTTGTGGGGGGCTGAAAAACTCTTATCAGTAACTTTAAAACCCCCTAATGGAAGGACTAAACATGTTGATGGGCCCTGATGACTGCTTGCCACTAAGTAGGATTAGTAACTGAATCTATTAGTGTGAGAGCCAGCAGATTACAGGGAGAAGTCCTCCAGTATCAAGTGGATTCTGCTGCTCTCTGTTGATTGCACAAACAAAGCTGTTCATTAATCATTTATCAACTCCCAGTCTGAGTCACCGGGACTCAAAGGATTCACGGATGCCAAAGGCCCGACCTTAACATCCCCATAATCTGACTTTTATTTTGTAAGGGAGGAGGACGTGTCAAAAGTAGAAGTCCCTGAATGATTGCGGAGGTCACAGCAGTCCGGCAGGTTTTAGTCGTGTCCTGTGCGTACCTGCACTCGGGCCTCGGTGAGGTTGACCCGGCGGGCCAGGTCCTCTCGGACGAAGGCGTCCGGGTAGTGTGTCCTCTCGAACACTCTCTCCAGAGCCTGGAGCTGGCTGCTGTTGAAGGTGGTCCTGTTCCTGCGCTGCTTCCTCTTCTTCTTCTCCTCCGTGTTCATCTGTTCATCTGCAGGGAGACAAAGCCCCGTTAACGCAATGTCGCATTTTAATAATGAATACGGCTCCATGCATTAATGAAGGCCGCACTGAGAAGACGCTGCCACATCAGACCTCAATCAAAAATGAAAAATAACAACAGAGCTTTTAAAGTACGACGCAATGACCAGTATGGTAATGCAGTATATTCATTTCCTGTTTGATGATTTAAATATATTCTCGATCGAGAAGTTCACCCTACGATTAATGTCCAACCTGCTCTACACGCGACTCGCAGCCGCTACCGCGTCCTCTGACCTTTGAACTTTTGTTTGTGAACTTTTGTTGGCGGGACATGTTGATATTACCATGTAAGTGTTTCTGCGGAAGTGACGATCTGAGTTATTAATACTGTTCCCTAATCTGATGATATAGCAGCTTTCACTGAAGTGAGCACACCTCTGCAAAGCTTGCACAGTCCTCGGAACCAGATGTGGAACTGTGCGTCTGAGACTGGTGTCAGGTAAACTAGAGTGCACTCATTTAATGCAAAAAGTGCCCCCCCAAAAAAATCAAATGCAAAAATTGGCTGTTAAAAAAAACTATATATCCAACCTGGATGAGTTATTGACCGAATGTGTGTGGAGCTTATCACAGGAATTCAACAGTGAGCGCTTGAAAGCATGGAGAGCTAACATATCGTTAGCGCTATCTCTCAAGAAAAACTGATGACGTAATTATTTAAAAGAACCGTTAAAGCATTTCCTGGATGTGCAATAAAAACAGCCCACTTGTTACGATGATCCGACAGCCTAATGAGCCAACAAACAGACACACGCGTCCAAGCAAACAAACACGATAAATATAGAATCTGTCCTGCAGCTGCACGTGTACATCTGAACGCTCCTGCAGGCTGGAATCAGTGGGGCCTTGTGGCTGTACAACAAGACCACAAATAACACTTCACATGAAATGAAAATGATAAAAACGAGATTGCGATCATACATGTTTCTGCCTTTTTACATACTACAAAACACACACACACACACACACACACACACACAGAGGGTTGAAGGTACTCTGTACAGCCATTCATGTTCTTATATGCAGTACAGTTAAGGGCTTCATACTTGTATTTTTTAGAGCATTATGTTTACATTTACAGCAATGAAGGACTGATTCTGCTTTTAGATTTACAGCAAATAAAAACGCCTTTCAGTCAGGAAAACAATATTTCTCAATTTGTCCAAGACAGAAAATGAAATTGAAATCCTGCCGGGGTTAATGCCAACCATCTGAAGTGTTTTATTATTTTTTTCTTATCTTTGAGGTTGAGAAAGTCTTTTTTTCTATGGATAAAGTAAGAATGAAGTGAGTGGCGGAGTGCAAAATAGCATCAAGCAAAAGTGTGTTACCACGAGGTGAAATCCTTTTTAGACATTCTTTGGCAGTTTGTATCCATGACATGGGTTCAAAAGGACTGCAAGGAACGGGTAATCCTTTGCAGATGGTCAGTGTGAATATTTAGTCAATTTGCTGATTAGAAAAATGAAATCAGTGCAGCATTGTGTTTCAGCTGCAATTCCACTGAGAATCGTCTGACTCCTTGTTGACAGTGCAGTGTGAATTTTTTTTAAAGCCACGGTGGCATTGATCCTTTTACGTACTCTCAGCGTCGTCATGTTAGAGTTTTATATCTCCAAAATGACACCTGACTGGACAACTTTCAAACATTAACTGAAGATTAAAGAAAAAATATGCAACTTTTGACTGCATCTCATGCTCTTCCTCAGCAGACAAGGACGCCTCAGTGCATATCAAATATTTAGTTCTTCTTCATCTTCTCAGCCTGCGGTGGAGATGTTTTATTTAAAAGACGAAGCATTGAATGCATTTAGCATTTAGATTTTGATATACAAATGTATTTTAATTCCAATACTCCTTTAAAATGTAAGTAAATACGTTGCCTTTATTCGATGATTAACAAACTGGGGAAAGCTAAATCCTGATGCAGAACACGTACAGACTTCTTTTACTTCTTACACACACACACACACACACACACACACACACACACACACACACACACACACACACACACACCTGGTTGACTGTCGCTGGCAGATGCTGCAGTGTGTCAACACTGAGCCTGTTTGCTTTGTGGTGTAATGAGAGAAAAGCTTCTCCCCTGCAGTCTCTGCCAATCAGGAGACATCTGCTGGTTTTAAGGATAAAGGAGTAACTTGTGAACTACAATATTAGTCTGTGCTTAGACGCAGTTTGGACTGTGAGCAGTTTAGAGGGCGACGACTCACATTATTGCATTTTGAAGGATTTTTACAACACAAATAACATTCGTAATTTCACCGCCGCCAAAAAGAGTGAATTATTTTGGCCCCGCATACTGATTCCTTCAAGGATCCACATCCAGCATCTATTCTCCTTTTACAGCTGATTTGTAATGAGGCAATTTAAAAACAGAAAAATTGAAGACGCCTGAATTGATTTCACTGTTTTAATATTGTTGACAGTATATTGTAGGTTACTATGAGAAAAATACTCGTTCTTATTTTCAGGTTTTATCATTTTTCAGCCCATATTTTGTTGAGAAGTCCTAAAGAACTGCTGCGGTCCCTTCAGCCTTCCAGCGGCTCTTAAAATGAAGTGGCACGAACTCAACAGCCTATTGTTTCTCTGATATTCCTGCGTTTGGTTAAAAAGTTCTCCTTTCTCTCTATTTGTTGGTGGAGATGATGTTATGGAGAAGGATTTATTTTTGTTTACGTTTTGTTTTAAAAAAAACTAATTAACATTCCACTTTAAATATTCCAGATTAAAAATACAACCCAAAAAATAAACTGATTTTGTAAAGGTGATTTTCTTTTCTTCTTCCTAATCCTGTTAATGCTTTCCTGACCTTTGGGACTTTATCTTGCCCTCGGTGGGGTCCTGACCCCGGCGGTCATCTAGAAAATAAAAACATTAAAATACCAAATAATTGCTGTTTTTTTAATGCAATTTAAAACGCCACATGTCAGATGAGTGAGTTTCTGACATCCTTTTTTTGTTTTATCATTACGATTATTATTTATTCCACTTTTGTTATTTTGTTGTTTTATTATTTTCATTCTTTCAAAAAGATGTACACATAAAATAAAAACTTCCATTTGAAAGAAATTACCTAAAAAGAACATAAAACGTCCTATTTAGATAATGATGTAACAGAAACTGTGTGGTAACATGAGTTGTAGCTCACATACGTAACAAATGTCATCCCTGCAATTGTGAACGTATTTGGGGTTTTACGGGGAAACACTTGGAGCAGCTGAGACCAAACATCTCTGCTGAGACTCGGACGTGTTCTCCATCAGAGCAGCGGGTCACTTGGTGAGACACCGGCTTGGCTGGAGGAATCTGTGCAGGCCGATGGCTGACCGGCAACCGCGCGTCGCGTCCCCCTTTTTGGAAGAAGCCGTTTTACAGGCACGAGGGTAAAATGAAAATCATGACGCACTTCATTATGATGACGTCACAACCGAAGAAAAGCGAAACTACAAGAGGAAAATGATAGTGACGTAAAGTTGGTTATTAAATATTATTGTAAATGGGCTATTTTTATACTTCCACTATTTCGAAACAAATGTGGATCATTTAAATTAATTAGGTTTGGTTAATTTAATTGCATGCCAAAATGAATAAATATATCCCTGCTATATTTTATTTTATTATTGAGCACGGATTAAATGTATCAAACATGGTTATCTGTGTATATTTCGACAGTCGTGCGGAACGGCGATTTTTAAACAAGATGAAACTAGCGAATTAAAGCTGATCACCACCATACTGACCAGTAATGATCTCATTAGCAGCAATCAGTGGAAGTCAATTAGTCCTCCTGCCGAGAGGAGAGCGCGTGAGCCCCTTAAAATAATAAAACATCCATTTAAACGTTGACATTTTAATTTGAAATCGTCTTGTATGCATTTGTTGCACGTGTCCACGTGTCTATTTATCTCATAAATAGACGGTTCACGTAATTCGTGAAATTGAAAAGACACGTAGAAAGTCGATCTGTTGGTTTTTTTATATATGGTCCTATCAACGAATCGTGAAAACAAAGAAAACGCAATGAGCTTCCAACATGATTCGGTTAGCAATCACCTCTGGACAACAGAAGGTCAGACGAGACGCTGCTATTTGATTCCTTAATTGTTGGCGGAGGACACGCGCGCTAATTATGACAAACGATTTCGTGTTTGACAGGCAGAAAATAACCGGGAATTAACGAGGTGACCCGACCACTTCCTCCTGCATATTTCTCACACGGTTTTTAGCCTCTTTTTTAACAACTAACAATAACACTCATTAAAGCCTAGAACGTTTCTGTCAACCGCTGCAAATGGTCCCTTGAGCGGAGGAGGAGGAAGAGGAGGAGGAGGAAGAAGCGATTATTTACTCTCTCAACGGAGCACCAAGAGGTGTTTTTCTGGGTTTATTTCTTGTTTATCCAACCACGCGGGCAACGGTGCGTTTCAACAAATACAAAGTTGGGGCTTATTGCTGCGACTTCCACGTTGTTGCGTGGACGAGAACTCGGCGAGAAGCACGCGCACCAAACTGGGCTCGCAGCCACGTTTCTACGCACGCGGCGGAATGTGTGTTGGTTGAAACCAAACCATTTGTGATAAATAAATCCATTATTCGTCATTAGACGAGCATACGCGTGACGCAATCGCCGTGCCACCCTGTTTTCAAATGTGTAGGTTGTTCTTCTTCCTCCCCCGATTGTACCGATCAACACGCGTGGCCTCGTTTGGGTCCCGACGAGAGATTTATTACCCCCGAGTTTGACCATGTCCGCCAACATCACCCTCCCTCACTGACATCAAGGCGTTCATGGGGAAATAAGGGCCGTTTTGGGGAGGTGTGTGTGGGGGGTGTCGGGGATGATGCATTGCCAAAACTCATTAAAGGATCCCTTCCGTGCGCGGAACCCATTCATAGGCTCTGCACGCGGACACGCGCCAGGACGCAGTGAAGAAAAAAAGACTCATAAGAAATGGCATTTGGGTCAGATGTGCACTGTTCATACCGAGGACACACTCACACACAACCGGGAAAGAGCGTAAACTGTCGGTCACACGATCTACACGAGTAGGCTTTCATCCGCATCCGCTAGGTCCCGGGCCTCGGCACTCTGGGTCGGGCTCGCTTTTCCACTTACTCTCCTGCTGGGTCGTGTCGCTGCCGCTCGTCAGCCCCGGGGACTCCAGCATACTCCTCCCCGCCTCTCCGACGCTCTCGTCGGCCTGGCTGCCCACCATTTCCCCGGCCTCTTCCAGGTCCAACAGGTGGCTGACCGAGAAGTTCTTTTTGGCTTGCAGGTTGTCCAGGTTCGACGTGATCGGACTCTCCAGGCGGTTTGATAGCGAGGCTTGCCTGTCCATTACGTGCGCATAGCTGGAAGTCATGACGCAAGTGGGGGGAACAACGTAAAAAAAAAAAAAGGGGGGAGAAAAAAAAAAGAAACCCGCGGCTCTGATGAGAAACAGAAAGCGAGGAATCAACAAGCGAGCCAAAAAAAAAAAAAAGATCCGCGTGTGTAGAGCGCACGAGCTCCACAAAGCAGACCGAGACACACTCGGCTCTTCCGAGGCGCAACGCGGATCTATTCACATCCAGATCAGTCGAGCGGGACTCGAACAAACTTCAGCGGCGTCTCCTCGCCTGCTTCTCCCCCCGCCAGCCCGCCCGCCTCCACCTCGCGATCAAACCCCTCACAGACAATCCATCCGGCGGCGCGCGTCAACGCCGGCGTGTCCTGCTGCCTCGGAGGGAGAAGTCTCACAGACGCGTTTCGCAGAAGTCCTCTGAGGAGAAGGGAGTTCTCTTCCCACTACGGTTGAGGCACATCTGAGCAGGAAGAGCTGCCGCTGCCGCTGCTGCTGCTGCTGCCGATGATGATGATGATGATGATGATGACGACCAGATGCGCGGAGCTGCGTGTGTGCGCAAAAACTTGCTCAGCGGCAGCAAGGCGCGGGGAGGCAGGACGTTACCGCCGCTCCTCCAGGCTATAGACCCTGTAGTCTCTCTCTCTCTCTCTCTCTCTCTCTCTCTCTCTCTCTCTCTCTGAGAGAGCCCCTTAATTACGTGGCAAAGCCTTCATGTTGTTCCTGACGTTTCGCAGGCCTTTACCACGAGTTGCCCCCCCCCCCCACACACACAGCCCCTCCCTGTAGACAGAAACATCACCATCAGCACCATCAACACCTCCTTGGTTTGGCCTGTTTTTGTTCCTCTGGCTGGCAAACCTCACCGTGTAACGAGGGTGATCGCGGACTGTCCGAGGGGACACGCGCGTGTGTTATCACCGTCTGCGTGTTGATAGAAAAGAACACACTGCCAGTTGGTCCATCGTGAGGCTGAGCCGTCAGGGCTGCAAGGAAGACGAGTGTAAGGAAGGGATTCAGCACATGGGGCCCCATGAATGTGCAACAGTAAATAGGATCATTAAAGCTGCACTCATTTGCTTTTTATGTATTTACAATGGATTACATGACTGAGGTGAGTGTGTTTTTTCGTCAACTCTGTGGTGCTTTTTAGCCTCTTTTAGCGGTTTAGTTGTTTCCATCAAACACGCTCTGGTGAATCGTGTGCACCAGTGCTGGATGTAAAGTGTATTTACCCAATTACTGTTAAAGTTACTTTCAGGAACAACCTGATTATGAAACTGTCAAAGATAATGCTGATTCTTCTATATGACAAAGAAGTAAAAAAAAGGCCATCAGTGAGAAAATTCCCTATTTAATTATTAAAGCATGACATCATGCAGGTACCAAAGCTCCTTCGGGGGCCTCCTGAATCTGGCTCCTGTGGCGCTTTTCGACTTGCAGCCAGCTCTCTGGTGGGACGTGTAGAACCCGGCGGTCTCGTCTCATCTCGTGCGCTGCTGGAGGCCCGGGCCGAGCATGTTGTTGGGCCTGCTGGAGGAAAGGGAGAACTGGGAGAGCAGAATCACAACCTGGATTGACAGCGTCAGAGACAATGTGGTCCAGCCGTAAGGTGTTGTGGCAAGGTGGTTCACAGGGTGTCTTCGGGGATGAAGGGGAGATAGGTGGGGCAGTTTTGACTCTAAAGTGGCAGACAGACATTTTAACACCATTTATTATTTTAGTACCACATAGTAGTCAGAATTAAACTTACTCCCCTAAAAACCCAAGGCGACGGAGTAAAAAAGATTGTTGGTTTTGACTGTTTGCAGACGGATTCAGTGTGGTCTTTCCCAGAAGGCAGATCAGTCATTTCACAAAGTATTTATATGAAAGTACCTGCTTGATTTTTTTCATTGTGGAAAATGGCAGGAACTTTACAATTTCTTTTCTTTTTTTGTGTTCATCTCAAGAGCATTATTATCACTTTATATTGTCCAGAGGCAAATGCAGTTTAAATGGTACCAATATGCATATTTGCAACCACATTACTATCAGGTGAACTACAAAATTCTGCAGTTAGGGGGACACATTTCTCAGGAGTTATTGGAGACCAAACTATGAGAGTGAATATTGGACAAGGTGCGAAAAATGTCTCTGCTTGTATTTATTTGTTGTTTGTCTCAAGCTCGTGTCATTTGAGCGCTGGCCTCAAACAGCACTCGGCTCTTAATCATCGAGCTAATCAGCCACTTGCCCACACGTGTGCAACGCTTAGCCAGCCAATCAGAGCCGGAGGAGAGTCTGGACCGTCCACTTCATCCCCCCAAAAACGTCCATCTCATTCCGTCTAGGAGTCGTCATGCAGTTGAAAGAGGGCGAAAGGGAAGAGGAGACGGTTTCTCAACCCGAGGGCCGGAAACATTTAAAGGGGTCACCCTCAAGTTAATGTGTATTTGTTAGTATTTTTACCTCCTGAGGCCTTTACGAACGGTTCCAAAGGATCAAATCTGTGAGAGAAAAGTCACTGTTATGGTTGAACCTCCCTATAACAAGTCCTAACTCTTTTGGTAGAAACGTCTTTGTGTTGTACGTCATGTGGGACAACCGTTTCTCTGGATCTGCAAAGTAAGCGGTAACTCCAGCCATCAGAGAGCCCTGGTGGAGTAAAAGTCCCTCAGTGCTTCTTGAACTGTAGGTTAGTCGGGCTGGAGAGGTGGAGGGGGTGAAGGGACGGAGGAATGGAGGGAGCTGGAGGTAATGTGTGTGTGTGTGTGTGGGGGGGGGGGGTCAGATGGCAAGAGTCGACTCTGGGCTCCGAGCTGCCATAGACATCCCGTAGCTCGCAGCCCCCTGATCTGGGAAAAGAACACTTGATGCCATCAAAGGGACGCGGATTGAATCCAGATGTGCCTCTCTCGTTCTTTCCGTGTATTTAATGAAGGCACAGGGATAGAGTAGACTTTTTCATCATTAGTTTTCCCCCCAGATTCTCTTTTCCTGCCTACAAGTCTATTCCCGGTGCCAGCTAGGGCAGAGAGAAAAAAAAAAAAAAAAAAAAGAAGTAAGAAAGGCCTCCGCGTGTCTCAGACGCACGGTCTTCTCCTCCAGGGGCCCTATTCTTTGTGCAGAGCTCGATGTGAAAATGGTGCGTTTGCTCCGACTGCTGCAGTTTGTCTGTGGCTAATGGAAAAGTACAAACATCTCTGAAGGGAAAATGCCATCGCGCAGAGCTGACGTGAGCAGGAAGCGCCTGTGAAAGAGGCTCACACGGACTTTGGCACAAAGCGACAACAAAAATCTGCATCCAGACGAATATGTTGGTGCTCCGGTTCATTTAGAAAGATTTTGTTGTTTTCATTTTGTTTTGTTTTTTCATTTAAAAAAAAAAAGCAGCTTTCATAACAAACTGATATAAGAGATCATCGAAATATTTGCCACAACCATTTTGATTTAATTTAATTGAAAATCAACCCATATTGTATTAAAAACTAACACTTTATTTATAGAGCACATGAAGAAATGAACCAATCTGTTGGAGAGACTGTGAGCACAATTCAAACACAAACATAGATTGATAAAAGTTGATCGGAGTGCAAAGAATGAATAAGAATAATAACAGTATACTGCAGCGCATGGTTACAGATCTTTGCACAGGTTGGTTAAATCTGTCATCCTGAACAACTGCTGAAGACTTTTTCTAATTCATGAAATCAGCTCGAACACAACACCACATGTTACCGGAGGCATTAGTGACTAGCGACGTGATTGAGGTAATAATCTGTGGGGGCGTACTGATGCCACATAATCGTAAAAAGGCCACCAACACCTGTGAGCCCGCTCGCTGTAGTGATCCTGTTAAAGGGTAAAGGGCCCGAGAAGACAAGCTTTCAATCTGGAATCAATCTCAAACAGATCCTCCACAAGTCTTGGCAGACTTTCCAACTACATAAATAGAAGTAAATGAACTAATAAAATCATTCGTTCAAAAAAAAGAGTAAACCAGCGTGCTGAATCTCTCAAACACTGTATTTACACAAACTTGCAGGTAATAGATCTGCATTTTATGATACTTTCTACTGTAGCAACATTTTAGACTGTATTGTATTTTTGGTGTTTCACAGCTGTAATTACATTTCAGATGCATTTAATCGCTTGATGAATTATGAATTCTTATAGATTAAATAATCCTCTCTGGTTTAAAAACACAACGTGTTGGATACAAGTGAATCAGTTAATTCTGTCTATATGGGATACATTATAGAATGAATGAGGCTTATTTGCAAAACTAATAACTTGACTATTTCAAATTGTATGTCATCACATACGATTTAAAATGTGTCCATTGGTGAGTATTTTACTTTCACCGTGAGGGTACAGACGGCCCAGTTCCACCTGTGTGTGTAGCTGAATAAAACCATTTGATGAATTTGTGCGTGCAGCCACTCAACTGGCATCGTGCGACATGCAACACAAACATTCGACAGTTCAGTCGAGTGATCGAACACAGCCGTCTGTCTGCGTCTGACAAGCAGGTGCCGGCCTCCAATTTCACTTTGACAAAGTGCATCCCATGAATCTCAAACACTGATCTCTTTCACTCTGATGCAGTAAACTGCACACGCCAGAAACACGGATGACCATAAATTAATGCGGGGCCTCACTAAATCCGTTTAGGGAGTCTGAAATGGAACTCGATCACAGAGTTGTGAAACTCCACACTTTGACTGATGTCAGGAGTGGAATCCCGGACAGGGATAATTAGGTTCTGTCCCGGTTTGTAGCCTGGACCAGCGCGAGGAGACCCACAGAAAACCTGCTGACCTCTGACACCGGGGTAAATCCTGATGAGGGGGATTCAGCAGTTGGGTGAGAGTGTGTGATCGGCGGAAGACGTTGCATGAAACCTGTCCTGCCTTTTAGTTGTAATCAAAGGACAAAGCTGTACACTATTTACAGTATACTTCAAAAGCACATACGTTTACTGATTTGTCCGATGATTAAGTTTCTTTCAGATTCAGACTTACATTTAACAGGAGATCAAACGTATCAAATGTGTGTATTCATAGTCAAACTTGTTTGGTTGTAAATATCTCCAGTTAATTTAAGAGTTTTAGAGATCTGTTATGCTGATGGAGCAGAGCATCGTAAAAAAGTAAAATTAGTTACTTGTGCGTATTTTTATTCTCTGCACTGCATCTCGGAGTGACACAGTACGTTTTACTGTTATCTGACTCTAGAAGGCCCTTCAGGAACTGGAATAATTCAAACGTGGGTACATGTCACCTCCGTTAATTGAAAGTCCAGTAATACTATTTAAATGCAGTGAGAGCATTTAAAAACTCCCATTCCAGGCCTGTCGATCGAAACGAATGCATTAACGTTACAATAAGAAAGTGTAACTGCGCTTCCTCGCTGCGTCACCTCAGTCCCTCCGCGCCGTCCTGCCGGCGGGCTGAGGATGAGGATGATGATGATGAGTCCGCCGCCGCTGTCCAGGGACCCCTGGTGCTGATTGGACTCGCGCTTTGCCCCCCTCCACCTGTCCTGGTTTATTTCCCTAATTGGGAGTAAATGGCCTCTTTGTTGGCTCTTTACATCCGGCGCAGGGAACCGTGTTGCGGACGCGCTCCCTGCGCGCTGCGCCTGATTGCAGCGGCCGCAGCGGGACTTGTGCAGCGCACCGGCTCGGAGGCGGATCTCCGTCACGCGGACCGACTCTGGGTCCGATTAGAGCTGCGGAGCTGCTGCAGGGTTGATAACGCTACACAGCCTGCACATGTCTGCAGCACTGATCCCCTGCGTGGCTAAAGGTCGTGGTACTCATCCTTCACTTTTCACATAAACAAGATAAGAAAGACACATTCACCAATAAAAGGTAAGAAATACTGATGGGAGGCAAGTAGATGGACAACTGCACTATGTGAGATATGCTTCACTATTATTTTATTATTATTTATACTTCTATTTCAACCTATTTTAGAGGGAAACATTGCACTCTGCATTAGAGCTGTTCTTGGTGATTTAATACTACATACTTCTAAGTTCACTGACCTGCTCTGACATTTTAATATCAGGAAGAAACTGCACCATATGGTCCCCGGTCTAAGGCCTAAGCGTTGTCCCTTTTATGTAATATTTTTCTTGCATGTTATTCTGATATGTCCCTTTTCTTTGTGTGCTGGGATGCTGTAATGTAAAAATGAGTATATTCAAGTAACTAAAAGCTGATTCTGCGATATATCTTAAAATAAAAATAGATATACATTAAAGGTAAACGATTTAAATGATGAGAAATTGTATGAACATATTAAAGGCTACTGTCACAAATTTACGTCGTGAATTGTTCAATTATTAATGTATCAATAAATCAATTAAAAAAAATAATTCTGACGAACTTTAACTTTTTATCTATTGAAATTGGAGGTGCACGTGATGTTCCGGTTTGGTAGAAATAAAATGAGCGCCCCCCCCCCCCCCCCCCCCCAAAAAGCGCCCGGCCCCGCAAACACGCACACGTGACGATCAGAGGGCAGAAGTAAATAAATCAGTCAGGCTTATTAGTGGCTTTTCTTCCCCTTTTGGGCTATTTGGCTCACTTGTTTGTCAGATTACGGTTTGGTTCGTTTATGTTTAAAGTTGTAAGGGTGGGTGAGTTTCCAAAAAGGTCAAACTAGTTTTATTTTGAAAATGTATATATATATATATATATATATATTTATTTTTCCTGTTTTTTTTTAACTTCATGGACATTTACTGATTTTTGGGCAAAATGCATTCGTTTCCCGTAAAATAGTTTAACAGCCGTGACATGAAGCCAAATTCACTTAACGTTTATTTACATTTGACATTGGAATTAATTTTCTGTTTATCATGCAGATGCGTCTATTTGGAGTCAGTGGCACCTCGTGGATAATGACATTAAATCGGCTCTAGCAGTGAAGCCGGCAGCTAAATTAAACAGCATTTGTATTAATTGCCAAAGCAAATAAGGCCTTTATGGAAACGGATGAAACTGCTGCATTCATCACGCGCTGCCAAAAGCCATCACCTTCAGTTCAAACATGTCTCTGGCTCCATCGATCTCCTGCTTTCTGCCGTGGGTCCACAGATCAGTTGATATGGAGGTGAAGCTCGTCCAGATGGCGGCGAGGTTTTTTTTCTCTTCAGGAAAACTTGATTTGGGATTCTTTTCTTTTTTTCCCTCTCTCCTCTCACTCCTTCGCCTCTCGGACTACTCGGGTTTCACGGTCTTTCTCGACCTGTCGGGGGACGCCAGCGCCACATAAATCACACTTTACTTTATAAACCTCCGCTCTCTGAAGTCCGGCCCAACGCACGCGCACGCGCGCACACACACACACACACACACACACACACACACACGCATTTCTAATGGAGAAGACATTTCTGCAGATGCCCAAATGTCCACTCGCCGGATCGTCTTCATTTAAAAAGACTGGGCCTATTGCTTGATCAATAAAGAAATACTATTCAAAACACTTCAATTAACATTATAGGAATGTATAACGTATCAAAAGGTCGTTATGTTGAATTGTCCTTTTGTATTTTTTTAGATATATATTTATTATTAATGCATTTTATCATCAGAAAATATCATTTGAATGTTGTATTAATGAAACCTATCATGTAAAGTAAAGATAAAATCCACAATCCCTAAAAAAAATAAAAAAAATAAAAAAAAAAACTTAAAAAATGAATCCGACAGATTACATAAAACGTACTTGAACTTTAAAAATACCTGAAACGTGTTGATGTGCAATGACAATTGCAATACAGACCCAATAAGATAAAGTTCCTCTACATATTGCTGCGTTACTTTCCACAAGCGCGGGATCTCGTGGGAACGGCATAATTCCGTCCTTCTCGTTCAAACGTCTTGATAATTTGTCCAAATTTGAGCTGAAGTCTCCTCGGGGGGGACTTCAAACGTTGACCTTGGAGGTTGCGCGTGGACAGACGGGAAGGTGGTCACTCTCCCACTCTACCTACCGACTAATTAAGAGAGCTGCTTTTACGGCCTCTCCTTCAGACGGCCAGATGTGACCGGAGCGCAGTAAAGTCTCAGAGCGCTTTACAGAAACACTTACTGCATTTTACAAACGACTCACAAAAGCGACAAGAGTCCCTAAGTGCTCCCCGGGTAAATTCCTTCCAGGACCACAAGCTCCAGTCCGGCACATTTAAACCCTAAAATGACGGACAGTGGAGAAAACATGCACAAAGGGAACATTCCTTTTTTTTTCCTTCCATTTTATTAAAATGTCATAGCGTAGTATAAATCTAAATGTCACCTCTTTAAATATTGACCCAATTCAAATAACTATTCTTCTTCTCATCGTTTGCTTCGCACACAAGCAGGCTTTGGTTCAGGCACACGCATGTGCAGGTGACCACCGGATTATTGTCCACACGTTGCGCTGCCGGAGAGGGTGGACTGTGCGGAGCGGCATGCGGCTGTGAGCGTGCACACACACATCAACAGATATCGTCTTACCGCTCAGGAGGGCCGCTGCTCCTCGGCCCAACCGACAACACAGGGATTAGATCGGAGCCCGGCGCCGGCAAACACGTCGGCCTACGACGCGGTGGACAGGAGGGTCCAGGTTGGGGCCAGAAATGGATCCGGGCCTCCGTCCAGGAAGCAAACAGGACCCGTCTTTCATTGACGCAACGAGGAGACAACAATGGAAGACGGTCCCGGTTTGACGTCTGGAAGCTGACAGGGACAGATTGAGGATACCGATCCTGCAGGTGTGCACATACTGAGGCCTGGGTGTCATATGGTTTCACCAAAACGAATAGCCCCCCCAAACACTTTCTACATTCAAACAGAGAAGCTGAAGTTGATATAATTTAAATGTCGTTGAAATAACAGTAAGATCAGAGAATCAGTACACATGATTATGAATCTCACCACATAGTTGAAGTCAACTTGAGATATTTAAATAAGAAATATTTTTTTATTCCAATAATGCACAAGACCCAATACCGTGTACAGTTTGTAAAGTACGAATCTCCCATGATCCCCAATCTAACGCAGACTCTCTTTTACCCCTAAACTTTAAAATCTGTGGAAGCTACTTCCCTGCTGGAGCTCGTGGGGACGAACACAACAAAACTCGATAAGTGGCCCAACGAGCACTTTGTTAACTACACGCGTCAGTTAAAAGCAGGAAGAGTCTTAAGAAGGTCACAGCTCATGCAAACCTTTTCAAAAACTAAATCCACAATCTTCCAGAACCCCATGAGATTTAACAATCAACTGAGAGGAAGCAAACCCGTCACTACTCGGGGACACGTTTGATCCGGCTCAGTTTGGCGGGAAACCAAAAGAGAACGGCTGCTGGTCCGTCAGCTCGGGGCGTCCCAGCGCCGAGCATCACTTCCTCGGGCTGAGAGCTGCGCTGCATTACTTGCCTCCCGCAGTGCGGTGGCTTCCAATCGCGTTTGCTGAGCATCAGGAGGCTGCAGCACCACTCTGAACGGAGCGCTCTAGTGTTTGACAGTCGTGCTCCGTCTTTGCCGGTTCAGTCGTCGGGTGGAGCTCCTGCTGGACGTCCCCACCTTTCTGCTCCGCCGCGGTCTCCTCCGCAGCGGGCGGACAGTCTTTGGTTGATTGCACCATTCCCACCTGGTCCTCTGCTGAACCGGTCCTTTGCGTCTCCATGCATCTTTCTATCATCTTCTTCTTCTCCTCCTCTTCTTCCTGCTGCTGCTTCTGCCTCTTCATCTCCATCTCCTCCTCAGTGGCCTGAAGGTGCAGCTGCTGCATCAGCTCCTCCAGCTTATGGGCTTTGCGTAGCTCGTTCTGCTGGATTATGGCGCAGAGGTGCTCCGTCAGCTGCTCCTTCACCTCCGTCTTCTTGTGCAGGTCCAGCTTGGCCGTCACGTACTCCACCTCTGCCTTCTCATATCGCTTTCTGAAAAAATGTAGACGGAAGAATTTGAAAGGAACTGTTAAGAGAATCTATAACAGGGTTGCAAAATTTCTCATTTATGCTCTAAAGAAAAATGACTTTTATATTTGAATAACCTTCATTCTGTGACAGTGGAATCCTTTCACAATATTTGTGTTCCTAAACGGTTGAATGTGCCGAGCGTGCATTGTGCGACACTTTTTAAGCCCGTCTCTGTAAAGCGCAACCATAAGACTTGGTTAGTTAAGATGGAAATGAAAAGCGAATTAGGATCCCTCAAATGTATTTAAGATCAGAGAAAACACATCTGACTGAAATCAATCAGATATAAAAATAAACCAATCATCATGACGTTGTTTCGATCATTTCACGGAGTAAATCTTTTTTCAGGGTTGGATATTTTCCAATACCGGGGCCTAAACTGCATCTGAACCGCCCCCTTAAAAAAAAAAGCACAAAACGACAATTGACGACATTTTTTTTTGACACGGTAATTTTTTTTCTTCAAATTAATGAATATATTAACTGTTTAAAGTACACTGTAAACATAAAGAAATATAAAAACACTTTGCTTCAAACTACATCACCAAACTATGAACAATTTGGCACCGGTTTGCAGTAACCAGCCCTATTTGTCAGCTTCTAAAATCTGACAATTTTTCAGAACATTTTTCTCCCACGTCTGAACATAGAAACATTGTTCCAATTAGACCAGAACATCATGTGCTGTTTAGAAACATTGCGTTAACTAAACACATGATGTAAAACATTTCATCTCGGGGTGAGGGGGGTTACATGGTACCTCAGCAAAACCCCAAGAATTGATTACATCAACAGAATCATAACAGAATCCAGTGTAATGACCTCGTGAGGTCCACGTCCTTTTATTCAAACATCTGTAATGAACTGTGTTCATGACATGGAGCTGATCCCTAAACACAAGCGGCTGCGTGGGGAATTCACAGCTTCGAGGTCAAACACATCTTTCTGGATTAATGTTGAAAAACCCACATCACAAAACTATTCACTGTCTTTATACCTTCTGTAGCTGTCAAATACACCCAACTACAAAATGTCCATCTTATATTCGACTTTTAGTTGTAACCCTGCGTATGTTGAAGCAAAGTGTAGAACTGGACTTTCTGCAGAAAACTGGTTTGAAGTCTTAGAGGAAACATGTAGATTTCAAGTATTGGAGGGAGGAGGGGGGGCAGGTTTACTTGAATACTAGTAACAAGCTGCAGGGGGCACCAGTTACACTGGACGTACACTTCCTTACCTGGTCACCTTGTTTTGTCACAAATAAAAGGCTTGCAGTGCCGTTTAATGATGTCGTGGTTATTTCAAATACAAAAATGAGGTCATAAAATCCCGAAAGCTTAGTTGCCGTTCATTAACGTGCATATTATTGTCGCTGATGTCACATTAATCACGCACGTCTTCGAGAAAGACAATCTGCCCCAAAACGTCAGGTATCATCACATATTGACATTAACTCCATTAGCGGGGCCGTGGATTCCTCCAGCAAAGTGTGTTAGTTTGATTAGAAGATGTAGAGCTGCCTGGTTATTACAAAGTAACACATCAGAACTTTTCTCCCACCTGCTGCAGTGAGGACTTATATGGGGTAGACAGGTGTTCAGGATTTAAATGACTGAATTCCTTAATTATTTACAGGCACAAAATGTTTTTTGTTGTTTATTTTTTCCCTAATTTAAAAAAGAAAATACTCCTAAGAAGATTACATGGCTAATGGAAGTGAATACTCCACGTATATTTTGGTCTATGTGCAGCCGTGTACACTTTGATTTGTGTCGCCTCTCTACCTGGCAGCAGAGTAGTCCCAGCTGGCTTGTTCGATCTTCACTCTCAGGATGCCGATATCATTGGACACCATGTCATCGAGGGCCTGGAGCTCCTTCTGGATCCTCTTCAGCTTCACGGCCTCCGCCTGAGTCTGTTTGGACCTGTGGACAAGAACAAACCCTTGAGGCAAATTTTATCCCTCAGCACCGGTATCGGTTTTACTTTCACAACATCACGTTGCTCACTACAGCTCCAAGACAGCCACGCTTACTTCTCTGCGATCGTCTTGGTGAGCAGAGCCTTTTTGCGTTTATTCCTCTCTTCCATTGTCTTTTGCTCCTGCTGAAGTTGCTCCAGGCGCGTCTTTTCCCGTCTGCGGTCAAACACAAAGACAATTTAACAGACAATGATGCTTGGAAAAATCCACGCTATGGAAAGAGTTTCGGGTCTAATGCTGGAGATTCATTAAAAATAAATATGTACTTTCAAAAGCAGGTGGACCAAAATAAAAAAATATGACGAATAACATTCACCATGTGAAGACAAGATGTAATATGATACTATATTATATAGTATACCATACGATATTGATAAATCTGTGACGCACAACATTCTTATATAATAATAAATGGATTATAAAAGATCCAAGCATCAGTATCATCTTAACCGTGCGTTAGTAATAATAGTGACTTATATTTAGTTAAATCCCTACTTTGGTGTTGGCTCATCACTCATGTGATTGCTGATTAAATTGGGTAACATCCCATCCTATTTCTCTCCCACCTGTCACCTTCGTTGGTCACGGCTGAGGGACGATGACTTTCTTTTTATTGTTTGCACAGGCAACAACATGAAACCAAATCGCATATTTACAGACCCTACGTTCCCAAATGGGTCAAAAGCTGAACATCGAAGCGGCGCAATGACAGAGAGGAAGAGAAGAGCTCGAATAAAGACACGACACAGGTCACAGCCCTTAACAACAGTGGTGACAACGCACAGCAGACATGCGTTACAGACAATGAAATCGCAGAAATAGAAAAAAAGATATACTAACAGTGCCACCTCTGGTATCTCCAGCTCTTTGACGCCCGCGCTCTCCTCCGCCGGAGCAGGCCTTACGTCGGTGGGTGTGTGTCGGTCAGCCGCTGCTGGAGGGGCGGTGGGCTGAGGCTCGGAATCGTCCTTCGCTGGCGGCGGCGGCGGCGGGGGTTTGGCGAGCTGCTGCTCCGGTGGGAGGCAAAGAGAGGCGGCGCCGGCGTTTCTTTGAGCGGCCACCTGAAGGGCCCTCTCCCGCTGTAACTGCTGCCGACTCCGGTTGGCTGGAACCGGTTTCCGCCCGCGGGCTGCTGCTGCTGCGGGCATTGCTGAGCCTGATAATGCATGCGGTAAAACGCTTTATACAGAATATTTGTCAGACTTAACGTTAAGTTTGTTCAAAAATAAGTCTACAACTGGGGCAGAGAGACGTGAACCTGCCCGGTTAGCATTGGCAGGATGAGAAGTTACCTTGCTGCTGCATCTTCCGAAGTTCCTCCTCAGAAAAACCGGCCCAGCCGCTCATTTTTCGAGCCTCACAACCACACGGCGTCAAAAAAACAGCAGTAATTATGCATATATAAAATGTATGGTCCTATTGACTTAAGATAATCATTCTAAACTACTAAATATGATAAACTCTATGAAGCTCCAACCAACCGTCGCCATTTTTGTTTATTGATGCCACGTCAAGGACCCCTAAAAGCCCACTGAAGTTGTCCCAGATATTGCCTGAATAAAAATCCCACTGCACGCGAACGGGACATATAAATAAATACACATTTAATCTCTGAAAATTGTAGTTAGTTTATAGCGAATTTTCATTAATGAAATTATTGATGCATCTTATTTGCAAAAATGTAGAATGCAGAAGGCATTTCATTAGCGTACCTCATACCAGCGCAACAAAACTATTAAATAAATTAATAAATACAAATGGGAGTGAACAACTATCAAGTTGCTATGACATAGTCAAATATTATTATGTTTCATTGTGGATATATATTCATCTTTTATAAACCTAAATTTTCCTAAAACCTAAACTCAAAAGAATTTGCTTCTTTCCCATCAAAACAGCTTTAATGACTAATTGAAATGTTTCAAAATGTCTATGAGAGAGTCCTAAAACACTTGATGATTTTACAGTGGGACAGAACTGAACCGTCACAGACTGCATAGGGACCAAGCATGTTGAAGGGGTGAAAGGTTAACTAAAGAACTGTTTCATGTGAAAGCAGCATGCGATTTAAGTGGTTGTACCGGAAAGTGGACTGTGGCCTATTTGATGTGCTCCCATTTGTGAACAGGCTTTTTACTAAAATACAAATTTATAGTTAATAACTAATAAATTAAGCTTTGACCCAGCAAACTCAGACTTACCTTACACCAAAAAGACAAGTTTATCTGGAGCACAGTTTTAACAGAGGAGGACGATTTACAATGTTTTTGTTGACTTAAATGTGTTGACTTGGTGTCAAAAAAAGGAAAATCTGGAGAGCAATATGCTTAGAATGAGGAAGAGGAGACACTATGTGCCTCGATTGATAACCGTTGTAATTTCTTGACACACGTTGATTGTATGTCAAGACCAGCGAAACAGCACAATTTCCCATTAAGGCTGTCAAAAAAGGTTCCTAAATACCGTGAATATTTTTGCCGTATCACCTCTGTTGTGTGAGCGCTACATGGTTTCCCACTGTGCTGTTGTCAGTTATAACATATCACTTGTCAAGGTTACAAGGGTGTCTACATTTTAAACCGATCCTTATTCCTGTCATGTTATGTGCTTTCCAAGTGAATATCATCTATAAATAGGCGATTGCGTGGTGACTCAGTTGTCTGGGTCGAGTCTATTGACAGAAAACGCGGCACGGGAAATCACTTATCGCTTCATTTAGCGCTGTCACACACGCTGACTTGATTCCGCTCTATATTTCATCATTGCGTCATTTTATAATTGAGTTCATGCAGACTCCTCCTCCCTTTCAATAATTGGTCAAGGTATAGACACAGCATGTGTCTCTTTGACCTTGGCAGCACTGAGGAGCCGGAGCGATGGAAAAACAATGACCTCTGCTTGACAACTAATAAAAACGGGCCCCCTCCTAGTTGTTTTGCATCTGGGGGCCAATTATGTGCAAGTTAAAAGGCGCAACACCTCAGGAGGGCATAAATCGCTGGCAGAGGGGAGACAGGGCCTGGCATGGAGGCCAGATGGGAAGGAGACGACCACTCTGGGTTCAGAGCCTGTTCTGCTGCCGCGCCATCAGGCCCAGGGCGGACGGCCTTGGGTCCCTGATTAGGGAGCGCCAGAGGGGACCACATGCCTCATTACTGGGTTGACCTGCAGAGGGACATCAGGGAGAGGTGGGGTTGGAAGAAATGTACAAATCCCCCTGTAGGAATGGGTGGAGCTGATCGGAGAGAAGGAGGATACCGCGAGGACTGCGCACAGTTCAGAAGTTCAGCGTGTCAGATCTGTTGTGCAGAATCCGAAAATGTCCACCCTCTCTGCACAGGAAGTGGACATCACTTGATGCAAAATGCATGAATTGACATTTGACTCTTTTCCGTGGAAAGAGGGAGATGTATCTCTCTGAGGTTTGACTGCTCGTGGCGGTGGATGATTTAACGCGAGCAGTAAGCGTGCACATCACCGTTGCATCTCCCCCACACACTCAGTGAACCCCTCAAGCCAGCGGTGCTCAATCAAACAGGAAGTGCTGTGAAAAATAAACAGCCAATCTGAGGAGACATGCATCGGAGCCCAAACCAAATTGAGGATGATTAGGGGTCAGGCCGTCGCCGTGGCTCCGAGATGGAAGCTGGAGGAAGCTCTAATTGCCGTTTCAAAAAAAAAAAGTCTGCAGGGTCAACGATGACCCCCGCCTCCGTCAGAGCACCTCCTCTCCCCCTCGGCTGCTGCTCTGAATTTGTTCCTTAATTTCCATTCATGACCTCTCGTCCCGCCATCTGCAGCCAGTTTGCAGCGCCGGCCTGACATCATGCACGCTGTTTCCCTTTATCTCTAAACTCTCTTCACCCTCAGCGTCTGTCCCCCACTTGTCCTCTGTAACACGCCCCCCCCCCAAAAATATCCTACCGAGTTCTTGGATTGGATTGATTGTTGTACCAAATAAGTAATGATAACATATTATGTCATTTAACGTTTTTTAATATATTCTGTTGTTTTCCAGATATCCCGGTGATCTCAGGAAGAGAGTGGTTAATACTTGGTTGTGGTAATCTTAAAATCCCGGGACTACTGTAACTCAAGCTGCAACAATCATTGGTGTTGATAAGGTTACGGTTCCTCCCTGTCGGCCTCGACAGCCGACAGGGAGTCGGCCCGGAGTCGGCCTGTCGGTTTGTATTGAGACAGAAAATATAAACAGTTAGATGAGACAGACATTCAGACAGAAAGAAGGAGGCAGGAGTAGAACAACATGAACCAAGTACTGCAAGTGAAAAAGAGGAAGAAACTGGAAATGTGAACTCTCTTTGGAATCCATGGTGTCTTAACACGAGTCCAATGAGAAGATGTAATTGATTTCTGTGGGTCGCATAGAGCATGTTGGGATGTCAATCCCAACATAGGCTTGATCAAAGTGTCTCCCATCAACGGTGTTTCATGTCTATCAGCCTCTTTTAGCCGTGCAAATTATGACTGCTGTCACTGAGAATTAAAGTCAACGAAGCAAACACGCTGCGACTTACAACAAAGTCATTTTTGAGTTTGAGTCTGAAGGTATAATTATTCATCTAATTCTTTCTTGCCAGGTTTGGTATTATTGTGCCTGCAAAAACCCAAACCTGCTCACAGCATCTTTACAGCTGGAGATGCTGCACAGAAGTGCATTTGCTGGACAAAATAGGTCCTTGAAGTCAAATGAACAAGATGTCATTTTTATTTTTTTTGCATGACAACTTTTTTAAATCTCAAGACATAGCAAGCTGTTTCCCCTTATATCCAGTCTTAAGCTATTCAAGTTTAATACCTAAACACAAGATTGACATCGATCTCACCCTCAGAACTAAAGCCAACAGCCAATTTTACTATTTACTACCATTTTTACTCATTTTCTATTTGATTTTCAGTGTGTTTGATTCTGGCAGTTCTTTTTACATATTTTCGGGGCAATTATTAAGCCCCTAAAAGACTCGTGCCTTCCCTGAGATCTTTGATTAATGAAAATGACAGGGAGCTGCTCACAAAGGCAGGTTATTGGCCCAAAGACTGCGAGTGTTTTGACTTTGGACCCTGGCTCAACCTGCCTGAACCGAGTCAGAAAGTTTGGGACTTTCTAAACAAGCAATCATACGTGATGACAACTGATTCATTAGGCCTCAAGCTTCGCCCAGAAAGTCCATAAAAAAGACCTCGATCGAAGTCTCGTTGAAGCTCGTTAGCGGGGGAAAAATGTGGTTTTGCACACCAGAGCTCAAATAAAAGAGACAGCTGTGTCCAGCATGGCTTCAAACAATTTGGCTGCCAAATCAGATTCTTAATCAAATTATTTTCAGCCATGGCATTTAATACACTGTTGTTTTATTCATTAGCCGTTCCACAGATTTATTGTGGCTCTGGCGGCATCGCAGTCTCTCATCTCAGCCATTTCCCAGAGTGTAACACACACACGCACACACACATCTGGTTCCAATCAAGGAGAGGGAGAGAATGCCTATTAGCAGGCACTGGCATAGGTACGTTGTGAGCAGTGGTGCTCCGTCTCCCGTGGAGTTTTTTGGTAGTTTTCAAGCTGTATACAAGCTCTCACTCAGCTCCTTCGCCACGCCCTCATTTCCTGATTTCAATAGGTGGGAAACAAGAATGAACCGGGATGGAGGATTTGGGCTTTTTCTGGCAGTGCTGGAGGTAGAGAGCCCCCGCTGAGAGCAGAGTTGAGATTTATGACGCATAACTGAGTTAAGAGTTAATCACATTAAAAGTATGTATCGTGTTTATGAAAAGCAAAGATGTGAAAAGGAATAATGACTCATTGTTCCAAACCATAAAAACTGTGATGCTTTCATTCATGATCTTCCCATGTTAGGCTTATGTTCTTCATAAACAATAACATAAAACTGGCTAGATTGTTTTATTCCACCTGAGGTTAAGACAGGAGGTCCGGCTGAACTCCAAATAGACGAATAGAAAGCATTCCTGACAGCAAGCTTTCATTAAAAGTAGAAGCCAGTTGGTAAGAGAACCCCAGTGTTGTTTTGCCTGTGGAACATCTGTTGGGTTTTGAAAGTGTTTTATCTTGTTTTGATTTATTGTAGAGAGAATAAGATGGGTGGACTTTTCTGTTTGCTGTTGTTAACCATTTCTGAATTTCTGTACTCTTAACCTACGCGGCAACCATCGTCACACCAGCGAGTCATTCCTTCAAACCCGAAGACCATGTCCACACGTTCACCCCATTGGTCATAACATTAATAAAGCAACAAATTACCCCAAATAAAGATGATTATTGCATTAAGAAAATATACATACTAGGCCATCACTTTTCAGACTCTGCAAAAACTGTCCTCACTTTCCAAAATGTCCTCACCATACCACACATCCTATAATACTTTCAGAAATCATCTTCAATTTCTTCCCCCTTTGGGAATACCCTCAGTTTTTCCATGTGTTTCCCAACATATAGTTATTTCATCATTTCCATACAATATCCCCTACGTATATATATGTCCTCACTTT